TATATTTATGTAAAAAAATGACTGATAATGTAGAAAAAGAGATTTTTGGTAGCTTGTGGAATGGCATGATTTTCTACTGAGCTTCGCATAGTGGCGGAATGATATTTTTTAATGCGATTATGCAAAAATTTTGCTAATAAAAAAAATCTGCATAATCGCATTAGAAAACGCAAAACACAAAATTTGCATTTTCATCTAAAAAACATAAGTAAAAACTCATTATGTAAATAAATAGGTATATACAATAGTTGTTTATTTGCATAATAAATTTTTATTTTTTATCTATACAAAATATTAGTAATTAAAAAAAGTAAGAAAATAGTTGTTTACTCAACATTATTTTGTTTGTTAGATATAACTTATAAATATATATATATTGATGATATAATATTATATTATGACATTACGCAAAATGTATCCAATTAACATATTTTTTAAGTAATTTCATTTGGCGATTTTTCATTCTGAAATTTTTCATTCTATAAGTTTTCATTATGCGAGTTTTATTCTGTATCTTGCAATTTTTTGGATTATGGTTCTTTTGTAACTGACCGTCCATTTTTCTGATTTCTTTATCTTCGTATCAAGGAAATATTGTAGTTTCCAGAAGCCGAGTGTGGGCTGGGTTAAGGTCTCGACGGATGGAGCGAGTCGGGGTAATCCGGGCCAGGCTTCAGCGGGAGGAGTGATCCGGGAGGGGGACGGGTCTTGGAGGGGCGGGTTTGCGCTAAATATTGGTATTTGCTCGGCTCCAATGGCGGAGTTATGGGGAGTTTACTATGGCTTGCTGATTGCCTGGGAGCGGGGTTACAGGCGGGTGGAGTTGGAGGTAGATTCGGAGTTGGTGGTGGGTTTTCTTAAGTCAGGGATCAGCGATGCTCATCCATTGGCGTTCCTGGTACGCTTGTGCCATGGCTCTTTATCAAGGGACTGGATAGTCCGGGTTTCTCACGTGTATAGGGAGGCTAATCGTCTCGCAGACGGATTAGCGAACTATGCGTTTTCGTTGCAGTTAGGTTTTCATTCTTTGGATTCTTGCCCTGATGTAGTCCGTTCGATAATGTTAGAGGATACGGCTGGGACAGAGTTCCCACGTCAAGTACGATTATAATTTTTTTTAGTTTGTTTTAATAAATGGTGGGAGATAATTATCTCCCCCTCCCCTACCAAAAAAAAAGGAAATATTGTAGTTTCCAAGTTGGTTTATTCGCAATCTTTTTGTAATGTTTTTTTTTTGTTAAAGGGCTTTACTTATATAACTGAAAATAAAAAGTTTACAAAGAAACAAACAAGAGCCAAACCAGAATTAGAGTTGAGAAGAAGACCAACAAAAGGTACTTAACAAAGAAGGTATCAAAGCCAATACCCTAATAATGTGAGATAACCAATTCAGCTTCGATTACCCACATTAGCTTGTACGCATCCAACATTGAAGAACATGTAAAGCACTCTTGGATCCAAGCTGGTGCATCGCATGACACTTGTTTTCCATGGTGGAAATGACAAGCTTTGCAACCGTATTCGGGGATAGAGTGAGACCATCATGATAACGTCGATTTCTTTCACGCCACAATTCATAAATTGCACCTTGCCATCCATGTAAGACCGCCAACTTGCTATGCTTAGTTGTCAAGGCAGTTGGAAGCCATAGTAAAACCTGATCCCAAATAGTAGGAGGAGATGAAATTCCCAGCCTTTGTGTTATTAAATTCCATACCTGACCCGAGAAAGAACACTCAAAAAACAGATGATTCCGAGTTTCTTGAGCTACACCACAAAGAAGGCAATCTTTTTCAATATCGTAACCCCAAGAAGCCATACGATCCAGTGTAGGATTGCGGTTTAAAATAAATAGCCATGTAGTAGTGGCATGTTTAGGTATGACCAATTTAGGCCATACAAGAGGAGCCCATGAACGTTTTTCTCTTGAAACCCTGATTGAATTCCACACAGCTTTGGAAGAAAAAGATCTGCATGGTAGTCCATTTACCTTCCACACCGCCTTATCACTGGAAGAGGAGAAAGTGACAGTAGAGATGAAAACGGATAAAAGGACTTGTCGTTCTGATCTGGGATTTGGTAGAGACCAGCCATCTACATTCCAAACTTCAGCCACAGTGGCTAATAGAGGGATCCCTAAGCGTGAGGGTCCATCTACACCAAGAAAGTGATAAAGAGATCCATAAGGGGTCCATGGATCCCACCAGAAGAAAGTGGAATCACCATTTCCAATTTTGATGCTGAGAAATTTGAGAGCTTTCGGTCGCAACTTGAGTAACCTCCTAAAAATCCAAGAATATGCATAGTTTTTCCCATTTAGTGCCCAAAACGAGGAGGTTGAAAGGTACTTTTGTCGTATCCAAGCCACCCAAAGTGAACCAGCTCGAAAGAACAGCATCCAAATAAGTTTTAAAGCACAAGTCTCATTCCAAGAACCAATGTGCCTTAAACCTAGACCACCTTCCTCTTTAGGAAAACAAATATCATGCCAGGCTACCTTTGCCCCCGAGGGAATATCAACCTTTCCATGCCAAATAAAGGAACTACAAAGACTAGTTATTTTTCGACAAATCTTCTTTGGCAGAAAAAAAACACTTGTCCAAAATCCTATGATGCCCGAGATAACAGAAGATAAGAGAGTCAACCTTCCAGCAAAGCTCAGGAACCTGTGAGTCCAGGAATTAAGTTTCCTCCTTATTTGAGATATAAGTGGGTCATAGTCCTTAACAGATAGTTTCCTAGAGCATAAGGGCAAGCCCAAGTATCGGATTGGGAGTGAAACATACTTGAGATTGAAAACATTGTGTAAGTGTTGCAAGCCTGTTTCACTCAATCCTGAACAGAACATGGAAGTTTTCTCAATATTCATACTAAGCCCTGACATCTTTTCAAAATCATCCAAAACAGACAATACTCCCCTCAACGATTGCTCAGTGCCATCCAAAAAGATCAACAAATCATCAGCAAAACATAAATGAGTAAGCTTCAACTCCTCACAACCAGGATGATATCCAAAAGAACCCGACTCTGCTGCCTTATTCAACATAAGAGATAACACATTCATGATCAAGACAAACAAAATTGGGGATAAAGGGTCACCTTGGCGTAAACCTGTCTTTCCCTTGAAAAAACCAGATGTGACACCATTTATGCTCACACTGAAAGAAGGAGAGCATACACAAGCCCTGATCCAGTTTAGAAAAGACGTAGGAATCTGGTAAGCTTGAAGAGTGATAAGAAGAAAATCCCATCTAACCGAGTCGAAAGCCTTTGCGATGTCCACTTTTAGTGTTATTCTAGCCTTCCTCGAGTTAATATGATAGCCCTGCATAACCTCTGAAGCAAGTAACACGTTCTCCAACAACAACCTATCTTTGACAAAGGCAGTTTGATTTGGAAGAATAAGATCAGGGAGTACAGTTTTTAACCTGTTCATGAGCAACCGAGATATGATCTTGTAGACAGTGTTGAGACAAGATATAGGTCTGAACTCTTTCAGTTCCTCAGCACCTGGAATTTTTGGAATCAGGACAAGTGAAGTAGAATTTAAGGCTGTAGGAATGAAACTGTCTTGGAAAAACTTGAGAACCCCCGTTATTAAATCCTGACCGATAATATTCCAAGTAGATTTGAAAAACTCAGCAGAAAAACCATCCGGCCCTGGAGTTTTATTTAGAGGCATTCGGTAAAGACATGATCTGATATCCTCACCAGAAAATGAAGAAGATAATGTTGCTTGTTGCTCAGCTGAACATGTAACATGGATTAAGAAGTTCAGGAAACCTGGTAATGCTGGACAAAACTGACCTCTTATTGTGGTGAAAAGTCCAGAGAAATGGTCTACAGCTAGTTCATGTACTTCTTGGAGGGAAGACGTGTAAGACCCGTCTGGTTTCAGCAAATGTCTTATGGCATTTCCAGCATTCCTTGCAGTTGTGACACAATGGAAGAAAGAAGTATTAAAATCTCCTTCACCCATCCATCTAATGCGAGATTTTTGCCTGAAAAAACTTTCTTCAGCAAGACAAAGATGCGACCAAATGTTTTTTGCTGAACTCTCATTCTGAATGTTTAGCGGAGAAGGATCATTGAAGGAAATCAGTTGAAGAGATTTTAGAGTAGAATGTGCCTCCAAGACCCTCTTTTCAATATCACTAAAATTACTCTTCATCAACAACTTTAAGGGTTTCTTCATCTTTTTTAACCTGTAACAGAAATCCTTAAGAGCTGTAACGGGACTCCCAACACTCTCCCAAGCTTCCTCTACTGAGTCAAGAAACTGAGGATGCTTAGCAAGAAAGTTAAAATATTTAAAAGGCCTGGACCCATAAGATGGATGGTCTGAAACAAGCTTTATGTGGCAAGGCGTATGATCAGAAAATTCTGGGGCTTCAAAAGTGCAGTGGCTGAAAGGAAACCGTAATAACCAGCTGCCATTCACCAAACATCGATCCAATTTCTTTCCAATGGGGTCAATAGACCTTTTATTAGTCCAAGTGAATCGAGGACCACTAAAAGGAAGATCAAAGACTCCCAAATCTGCTAAGCACTCACCAAACAATCTCATACCTCTTGTGGATCGAAAAATATCAGGATTTGAAGTTTCAGCCGGATGAAGAATCTCATTAAAATCTCCATTGATCAGCCAAGGCCTGCGTGATAAACCGAAAGAACCCGCTAAATTCCGAAGCGAAATCCATAACATCTTTCTATCCTCTTCTTCGTTTGATGCGTAGACTGCAGTGTAAACAAAATCTGTGCCATCCTCAAGAGTGATCTCACACGTGATTGACTGAAGATCTGTAAAAAGAACTCGAGCTCTAGTGGGAGCTTTATAAATGATCCAAATTTTTCCCAAATCTGAAAACATGTAGTTAGACAAAAGGGACCAGTCAGGACCAATGGTTGACAGAATCTGAGAGATGTTTGTTTCTCTAACATGCGTTTCCAAAAGCGCTCCAAACATGACTGAGCGTAATCTAAGCCATTTATAGAGAGGTCGATGCTTTGAGAATTCATTAAGACCTCTTACATTCCAAAAAAAGGTATTTGACATATAAACAGGTTAGTGGGAGTGACGCTTCTCTCCTATAAGGGAGAGAACTCCGCCTTGAAGACGAGACTGTTGAGCATCCCACTTTCTTTTAAGCTTTGTCGTTTTTGGGGATGTTGATGACGAGAGAGGCTGACCAGAATTGGCAAGAGAAGAAGAGTCATCATCAACAACCATAGTACTTTCCTCCACTTGCAGCAAATCAAAAGGATTAGAGGTGGTAGGAGGAACCGTAACCAAAGATAAAGCTGAAGGAGCAATATTACGAGAAGCTAATTCAAAAGGAGTTTCAGAATTTGATTGAGAAGAGACTAAGTGCTCAGAGACGATACTCAATGAGACTGGGCCAGCTTCTGAAGAAGGGAACTGATCAGACACAAGATTCACGTCCATAGAGGTTTGATGCATAGATTGCGAAACAGGTGGACATGCTTGAAAATCAGGGATCACAGCAACAGATTGGGAAGGGGTAGCTGAAACACCAATTTCAAGCTCACTCGACACATTCTTACCTTGAACTGGAATCCAAACCTTTTTTGGTTCACCCAAATTTATCCCTGGCAGCTTTGTGACTGGAATTTCAGAGGGATGATTGTCAAATCGAGAAGTTGAAGACTGTTTAACAGATATAGGAGCATTCGGACATAGTGCAGATTTATGCCCAATTTCTTTGCAACATGAACAGAGTGGTGGTAACCAGGGAAAAGTAACCGTCAGAAGCAAGATATGACCATCCTCACGCTCAAGTTCCAAAACACTAGGCAGAGGCTTTGTAAGATCAACCACAACTTTAACCTCCGCAGAGTTGATACTAGTAAAGGGCTTATAATCCACAGCTCTCCCTAGAGTCCTACAGATGATGCTAAGCCCTTCCGGAGTAATGAGATCAAAAGGAATGTCCTTGATAGAAGCCCAAACGGGAGCACTCTCAAGTGATGGAGGGTTGAAACTAAATTCAGACTTCCAAGGCATAACAAAAAAAGGAGAGTCACCCACTCTCCATAGTTCGTGCTGCAGAACACGCTTTCGCAAAGAAGGTGATGGAATATAGAAAAGGAAAGCATTATTGGACAGATTGTGAACAGTCACTCTCTTATCTTTTCCCCAAAGGAAGTTTAAAACTCCCCAAATCTTACCATAAGAAGGTGCCTTTCCATAGAAAATTCCCACGATGTAGTCCCCGTGAAGTTTTGCACCTCGTTCAAAAACTGTGTTTGGTACTTTTACCCTAGGACGACCTTCAGCTGAAATCAAAACCGGAGCTGATGAAGCTGGAATTTTTCCTGAAGAACTGAGATTTTTTGCCCAATTAAAACCAGGATCTGAAACACCAACAGTTGGATTAGAGACCCGTGAGGGAGGTGAGACAACCGGCGGCTTGGGTAACTCAGGCGGAACAGAGGGGAAGCCGGGAGAGTTGTCCCTAGCCAGAGAAGAAGAAGGGGCCGCTCCGAGAACTCCTTTCTCGAAGGGAGCGTGATGAATTGCTGATTTCGCCGGAGAAAGAGAAGCAAAGGCCAAATCAGACATTTCAACATCTAAAGAAGAAAACTGAGTCGAAGGAAGAGAAACAAGACGCGGAGGATTGGGATCTGGTGGAACCGGAGGTGGTGGAAGAGGCAAAGCCCCAGTCATCGATCAAATGAACGTGAACGGCGGCTAGGTTAACACTTTGGAAAAAGTCGCACTTTATTTCGTCAAAGAGAGAGAACAAGTCTTTTTTTGTAATGTTAAGGCATAAGGATCTCGAATCTCTCGAATGGTGACAAACCGTGACATTGAAGAAAATATCTCACTAAAATCAACTCTTGTGATTTGGTTTATTCTAGAGCCACCAATCTCCCCATCCACTTTTATTACTTGGCTGTTCAAAAAGATATTTTGATACCAGTTTTTAGCTCTCTATGAAGCATTTATTGTAAAACTAATTTTTTTTGTTTGAATATACTTTACATTATTTCAAAAAAATGATATGAAAATATTTAATATTCAGCATGTAATCTATTTACAAAATTCATGTATTGTTTCGTCATGACTTTTAGACAATACTCACAATACCAACCCCACCTCTTCAATCTCACTTAGCAGCAAGTCAACTCTAGTAGCAAGTCCATAATTCGTTTCCAAGTCTAAAATTTTGCTTTCGTTACTATTTATTTCAATAAAGAACCATCAACTTGAACTTTATTATCTCTTATAATTTCATAAAAATGTAAAAAAGAAAAATAAACAAAAACATAACAACTAGAAAATAAGAGGAAATCAAGAACGGATGTTTCTTTCTTTGTCATCCAAAGAACAAGCACTCTCCTTCTTTCTCTAATCGTAGTTTACGGGAAAATAAATAACATCCAAATCATGTTTCATGCCAGCCACATTAACCACGCAAATTTTCCACTATATAAATATTAGGTTACTCTATATACTAATTCTTGTTTTAATTACGATTCAAAAACACTAAAAAGCTAAAAGTGTCCCCAGAAAAAAAAAAAATTCAGAAGGGTTTTAAGTTTTCCAAGGGAAAACACGTTGCAAAATATTTGACATTTGTTTCCTACCATATACGAAAAATAAAATTTTATGACATCAAAGATTTAACGTTTTTTTTTTTTTGTCGTCACACGAGTGTAAGTGTGTAACATAGTATAGACTATAGACCGACAAAAATTCAACATATTTGATGACGTCATCATAATTCCTTACTAATACATAACCAACTTCGTCTCTTCATCTCTACTAACAATTAGCAACAAAATAAAAGCACACGAATTTTCAAATCTTTCTCTGGCTCTTTCGAATTTTTCTCTCTGTTTCTTGTAGATCCTTCTGTTTCCGTTTTGTTTAATCGCACCTGAAGATCTCTCTGGTATCGAAAAATGGGTGAGAACGCCATCTCAGGTTCGTTTCGAAATCTTTCTTTCTTTTGTTCTTGATCTGTCGCTGTCGAATGATCTTTATGAAGCTGGATTCGAGTTGGGTTTTTCGTTTTTATGGAATTAAGTATCTGGGTTTTATAGTTTTGCCTTAAAGTTTTGTTCTTTGATCATATATCTTCTTGGGTTTTGTTCTATGGATCTCTGTTTGTTTCTGCAGAAGAACGAAATCTGTGCATGCGAAAAGTCTTTTATCTTGTGTTAACGTTTGATTGACTAAATTGAGGAACTTTAGAGTTGTTAGAATTCGAATTTTTGATTTTCATGTCTCTTTTGGTAATAGGTAATCTCAAGAATCTAACGATCGACACAAGAGATTCAGAAACTCTTGTGGTATGTTTCGGTGAAATGTTGATTGATTTTGTGCCAACGGTGGGAGGTGTTTCACTAGCTGAAGCACCAGCTTTCAAGAAAGCTCCTGGAGGAGCTCCTGCAAATGTAGCTGTTGGTGTCTCTAGACTTGGTGGTTCGTCTGCTTTTATTGGAAAGGTCTGAGATTTTTGACTCAGAATTGATGATCAATCTAAGGGTTTTTGTTTTGGATCCAATCTTAGTTTCGGTTTTGTTTGAAAAACTCAGGTTGGTGATGATGAGTTTGGAAGAATGTTAGCTGATATTCTAAGGCTTAACAATGTCGATAACTCCGGGATGAGATTCGACCACAATGCACGGACTGCTCTTGCGTTTGTTACACTAAGAGGTGATGGAGAGAGGGAGTTTTTGTTCTTCAGGCATCCGAGTGCTGATATGCTTCTTTTGGAATCTGAGCTTGACAAGAACCTCATACAAAAGGTAGATTAGATTGTTTTCTCTTTTGATCCACATTTGAAATGAGTCTAAGTCCGCTGGTTTGTTTTTGTTTTAAGTACAGGCCAAGATCTTTCATTACGGATCTATCAGTTTGATTGAGGAACCTTGCCGTTCTACTCAGCTTGCAGCTATGAAAATCGCTAAATCCGCAGGGAGTCTTTTATCTTATGACCCGAATTTGAGATTGCCATTGTGGCCATCGGAAGAAGCTGCAAGGAAAGAGATCATGAGTATCTGGAATTTAGCTGATGTTATAAAGGTATGATCTTTTTATTTACTACCAATAAAGATCAGATCAGATGCATTCCTCGTACTTAAAAATGACACAAGTCTTGTTGGGTGTTTTTCAGATTAGCGAGGACGAGATTACATTCCTGACTGGTGGTGATGATCCTTATGATGATGATGTGGTGTTGCAAAAGCTCTTTCATCCCAATCTTAAGCTTCTTGTTGTTTCAGAAGGACCTAATGGTTGTAGATACTACACTAAGGTTTGCTTCTCTTTATTTTTTCTATCTTCTTCAATATCACATCGGTATCAGTTTACATATTCTTGTTGCTATATGGTCTTGTAGGAGTTCAAAGGCAGAGTTGCTGGAGTAAAAGTGAAGCCAGTGGATACAACCGGTGCAGGAGATGCATTCGTGAGTGGGTTATTGAACAGCTTAGCTTCTGATATCACTATTCTCAAGGTACTTACTTATTCATCTCTTTCATTTTACATTCCCTGGTTTAAAACTAGACTGAATCTGACTCATTGAGGTACATTATGTGGCATTTGCAGGATGAGAAGAAACTAAGAGAGGCGCTTCTATTCGCAAACGCTTGTGGAGCCATTACAGTAACAGAGAGAGGAGCGATTCCAGCGATGCCCAGCATGGATGCTGTTCAAGATCTTCTGACTTCTTCTCGCTCCTAAAATGCTTCAAAAAGTCTTCTTTGAGTGTATCAATTCATTACCTTTTACTGTATTTTTGGTTTTTAAATCTTTTTTCCCCAATTTGTAGGAACTCAAGAATGTTGTGTGTGTTTTTAGTTTGTTGATCTATCCCGGAGTTTTAGTATTGGGGTGGTTTGGTTTTTATATCAAGTTAGGTTCTAGAACGAACAAATTCATGCTTTGTACAACTACTTGCCGTTTTAATAAAACAAGAACGACACACACTCTTTAACGCAAAACATGAATTTGTTCGCTTCGAACTATTAATTGTTATTCAAACCGGTTTACGGTTTACGAGGAGTTTCCCACAGATTCGCTGAACGTGAGTAACACGTGACAAGTCAAACTTGATTGGGATTTGTGAAATTGTGAATGTAAGTAGGGCTAAAACAGACATTTTACAATATTAACGGCGTTAAGAAGGGAACGTTAAGTCCTCGGTGGAAACTTAACGAACTTAAAACTTTTTCGTTATCACCGTCAAAATCAAAATCCGGGACGATAATTCTCACGTTCTCCATCACTTTCCGTCGATCCAAACCAGAGCGAAGAGTGGGAACTACACGCGAATCATCATCATCTCTACGTAATGTAAATTTTGAATTCGAGGAAGAAGACGAAATCGGAGCATTGTTGGATCGATTTTTGAAGTTTAGAGGAGGAAATGATGGCGTCGGATCCAAAACTGAAGGCTGAGATCGGAGCCGATGGTCTTGCAAGAGAAGCTCCTGTTATTGCTTACACAGAGAAGGTAAAACAGATAATCTCTGGATGTATCATCACAACAAGTGTTCGTGTGATTCTCTTTTTCTGATCGCGATTTGATGATTTTTGTATGAATCAGATAATCGAAGAAGAGCAAGTTCAGTTGAGGAAGTAAGTAAAATGATCTCTATTAAGAATTTGAATGTAGTTGTTTCATTGATTGGGAAGATGATGAAACTTGTTTGATGTTGTTATAGATATATTGAGGAGAACTATACAAAGATTAGGGATGTTGAAAGGGAATTTGGAAACCTTTCAATGGAATTGAAACTTACTGCTGGACCTAAGAAAGCAGGTTTGAGATTGTTAACTTTTTTTTTACTCAATGTGATATGGTTTATTGGTTTTGTTACATGGAACAGCCTTATTGATTTAAGTTTTTTCTTTACTTCTGTTGTCAAAACCTAAAGCAATGGAACACTTGCGAAAGAAAATCGAAGTCGCAACTGAAAAGATCCATGTTGCTAAGTTGAAAGAAGAAGAAGCTCGAAAGGTTTTCTTATACCTCTTTTTGATTAATGTATCTCAATGTTTTTGCCTGGCTTGTTCTGTTTAACCTCACATGGCATGTAGAGTTAGTTATAGGTGGACGTGAACATTTCTGTTACCTGTTTGTGCCTCATAGTAAAATAAGTTATATGAATGGATATTTCAGATATCATGGTCTGATGATTAATTTCAAACATCACTGAGTAAACGAATTTTTTGCTAATCTTTCCTTTCCAAGTTCAACTTTGTTGTTGGTTTTACTTTCCAATGCTGGAGAACCGCGTTTCATGTCGTGCTGTGACCTATGGTTGTTTTGCCTTACCTTTGAAGTCTAGAGATTGTTAGTTAACCTCTTTTCTCTTATTAGGCATTTGAAGCAGCATCAAAAGTTGTAAAGGATGAAGAAGCAGCAAAACAGAGTCTTTGTGAAGATTTAAACCGGCTGGTATGTATATCTGTTGAAAAGGGAATTTATTTTTTTCCCATTGAGAGACATTTGAATCACAATCTTTTCTAAATTGTAATCGTAGGTACAACAAAGCAGCAATACGCAGTACGCCAGACTTGAGGAATTGAAAAGAAGACTAGAAGCGCTGAATCCAAATAGATCATCTACTTCTGTTCAGCAAGTAAACAATCTCTCCTTTTAGTTTATATTCCATCTGTTTTTCCTAATACAACTTATTATAACTGTAGAGACACCATAATTCTTGCAAGAGTATGTTACTAACCACAGCTACTACTGTGCAAATGTTTACATGAATAATCAAATCTATTTGCTTGGCCATCAGTGGATACACGTAAGATGTTTTTAATCTCTGATTGTGTTCCATATTTAGGTCCAAGAACCGGAGACTAAATCTGTAGTAGACAACTCACCAGCAGCCAATGCTAATCAGACTCACACGGAAAAACCAGATGGGAAGGAGGAGGGAGGTAAAGAACATGGACAGAGGCCAGCAACAGCTGAAGGAGAATCAAAAGCGAAAAAGAAACCACAGAATCAAGGAAAGGGAAGAGGAATTGGAATCATGAACAAAGGCAGAGGAGGTTGGACAGGTGCTGGATTCGATGTCGATGGTAGAACTTGAAATACATATATCTATTATAATACATATACCGAAAGCCGCCTTTTCAAATCAGAAGTATGTCAACTATTTTGTTAGCAGGTACGTTCTATTCATCTTTTAACATCGATAAACCTGTACGTAGCCATAGAGACCTCTCATTCTCTCATACACTTGTGTTACCGGAAAAAAAAAACCATTCAATCATATTTGGCTGTTCATTGATTATCTCTTGTGTGTCTCCAATTTTATGCAATGTGGTTGATCTAATAATCTGAAAGCAGTTGGATTTTGTTGTCTAATAAGTTAGAGTGAGGCTTGATTGGTAATGATATGGAGGGCAAGTTTCATATGATTAAGGACAATCGTTCCTGTAGCAAAACTCTCTCTTCTCTCTCCTTGAAGGCGATTTTTCCTTTTCTTCCGCTTTTAGATCTAGGGTTGTGACTAAAGTGCTTCAACGATGGCCGGCGGTCTTGCAATTTGAGGTGCGGTGGTGAGACAGGTTCTGTCTTCGTCAGTGGTGGTGTGGATTCCTCTCCATCGATCTTGCGGTGGCTCCGGTTGAGCGGTGGGTTGATCTGGTGCTGTCGCCTCTGGTTGAGGACGCTGGAGGTTGCATCGGTGTTGTCCCGTGGCTCAGCCGTCCGATTGGAAGCTGCAGCAATGGCGGAAGTCGACGGAGAGGTGGTGGGTTCGCTGAGTAGTTACGGTGGTTCACGTTAGACCGGCAATCTTGATGGCTACTACGGGTTTACAGATCTAGTGTGCTCGCCTGAGCCTTCGGCCTCTAGATCTGCCGTGGTGGTGTCCACCGGACCGAATTGATGGTTGTGTCTCTGAGAGATCTGAGGGTTTTCGGTTGGGTTTGTGGGGATAGTTCCCAGTGGGTCGGATTGCTAGGCATGGGATCTGACTCCGTAGAGCCGTTTGTTGGCGAGTTACGCATCTCGGGAGGACTGTAGCGGGTTCGGTGGCTCGACGGTGTGAAGCTGACGGCGGAAATTGGATTCTTCCGTCATTGGCCTCATCCCCTCGTCGCTACCGCAAAGCCGTCGTCCTTGAATCCACCGGGGTTGGTGCGTCTGACTCGTCACCTCCGGTTAACAACAAGTTCCGAGCCGCAGCTCCGTTACCGGCGTATCCCGATGGTTTTTTCTTTTTTGTAACTGTACCTTTGAATTGTAAGGCTTATGGCCCAAGCCCATTAAGGGGATTTTTAATATAAAGTAAAAAAAAAAAAAAAAAAAGTTTCATATGATTAGTAATCATAGAATTTATAAAGTTATAAAGATATGAATCGCAATTTGTGATCTCCTGAAGTAACTGGAACTGATGGTAGATAAAGGTCAAAAGAGTAACAGTAAATCTTAGTGCTTCCTGCCTTCCTTCTTCTCTTGCTCTGTATAATAATATCAAATAATGTTTTATAGAAAAAAGTGAACCTGTGACCGATCTGTGTCAGGGGAGTCCACAAGTGGAACCCAGTTTTGACGTCATTCAAAATTTGTTGGATTAACAAAGTTTTTGTTTTGTAATAAATCTTGAAATGTAGACTTGGGCAAAATATTTGGATCCTAATCCAATTCGAAAATTGGAAATTATAATTTCTGGGATATGTGTAATTTGGTTTAAATCAGAATATAAAAGACTGTCTAGATCTTTTTCATACTCTATTTAATTTATAATATAGTTGTATAAGATATTTATTATAATAGAAAAAACTTCAAACTGTATAAAATAAATTATTTCTAAAATGGTTGGATATTTTTTAAAAATGCCATTAATAATTATGTTCTAAAATCTCAATAAAAATCAATTTGGAAAAATATGATATGTTATTTTTATTCAAATTCAGTTTTTGTCTTTTTGATATGATATTTTAATACTTTAATCTTCAAAACTTCATATTATATCTTTTTGATTAATTTTTATATTGTTTTTAAGATTGTGGACTGAAAATCCTGAAATTTTTAAGAGTCCTCAAATTTATATTATTAATAAGTTTTTTTTTTAAATTTATTTCTTGTAGTTAAACCTCAAAGTGTCATTTTCGCCTTTAATTTTCTACTCATGGATCTTCATTTCATATGGCAGTAAAGTAATGGTTTCATTTATAGTGTCTGATCTTTCTCTAACTACCCTTTTGATTCCATTGCATGCTGTTTAATGTCTTTGTTTTTTGTCTTTACTTATACAGTTATACATTTGAAAATCCCATAAAACAAAGACTGATTTTGTTTCAAAATAAAAGCATTAAATTAAACATATGATTGCGTTCCCTCATATAATACACCATTTCCTTTTCTGACGAGAAATGAAGCACATGGTTCCAAATACTATACAAAATATCATAACAATAATGATGTCTCATTCATTCAATTTTTGTTGATAACACAGTGAAACATTAGGAATTGGTATATATTCAATTCAAAAGTTATCGAAAACGCGAATATGGCGGGATTAGTAGGACCAAATTGTCGTGAAAACCCTGCAGTACAGTGATGAAACTTTTATCTTGATTTGCCGTCGACAATACTCTAAACACTGACTTGCCTATAAAACAACCATTCTACTATTGGGACACTCTTGTTTATAAGCAACAAGACAAATCATGCTTTGCCCCACGATCCTCCAAAACTTTATGTTATAAAATGAAACAATGAATTATTTAGGTAAACTGTGGTCCCAATAACTCGATTTCGACTGTGGTTGTGTAATGACTTCACTATGAGAAGGACTCTGATACACATATCCCTTTCTCTTCCTAGTGGGATTTTGTTTTTTAATTTTTGAATTTAAGCAGCTTCTATCACTATCGCTTTCAAAAACTTCTTGATGTTTCGATCTTTTCTGAGGTCGATAGATTTGATTGATCCTCAAAAACGCCTAATTTATTAACATAGGGCCCTTACGTTTCATCTATTATTTAGTTACCGACTTACTCTAGATTGTGGTAAATATTGATGGATTAGTGGTGTCGAATTCGTTAATGTACTCGGATTTGTGGTGTTACAATTTTACTAGATGAGAATTTGTCATCTATTTCATAAGAATCGCTTTTAAATTCAATCTTATAACATCTTAACTTAGCGCTCATACCACTTCCAAAATGTTGATATACAAATTTGATGTTTCAGAAAGAAAAGATTGTCGTGTTTGACTATATTATACATATTTTATAGTTTCATCATTTTGTATGGTCAAAAAATAACATTATACTTAATTAATTCACTTTGTTTATCTTATGTATAATTAATGTATAATTACTACATATAAATTTAAATTAACAAATATGAAAAGTTAATAATAATTGAATAAAAGAAGAAAAATACTTGGGTTCACCCCTAGGGGTGAACCTCTTATGTTCACCCCCTTAATTTCATCCAATCAAAATCTACCACCTAATAATAATAAAAAATTCATTTAATTATAAAATTTAATTTGCCACTAAAACGAAATTATGTATCGGTTTAATTTATTAGAAAGGGTTAGGGTTTAGAATTTTATGATTAAACGAGTTTAACTATCGATTTGGGTTTATAAACGGGTTTAGATTTTACAATTAAACGAGGTTAAGTGTCGGTTTGGGTTTAGAAAGTACGATTAGGGTTTAGATTTTTTACGATTAAACGAGTTTAAATGACGGTTTGGGTTTACAAAGGAGAATTAGGGTTTAGATTTTGTAATTAAACGAGATTATATATCGGTTTGGGTTTATAAAAGAGTGGTTATGACTTAATCTTATTGTTTTATTTAGAAAATATTAATTGTTTTAATTTTTTTAACTAGATGACATGGCAAATTCTAATTGGATAATTAAGAAGGGGTGAATGAAAGTAGTTCACCTCTAGGGGTGAACCCAAGAATTGTTCATAAAAGAAAGTAATCAGATTCTTAATATGTTACCATATTATTATGCTAAGAAGATTTGAAAATTCTCTCTATTTAGTTAGATGATCTATTTATATTGGTAAACCTGTGTCAAAATGAGTGTACATATATCATATGTACATCTAGCTAAGGTAAACAAAATCTTAAATCAAACAAAATTTTGTGATATATATTAAATTTGATGCAAAATTTAGATGATATTAACTATAAAGGATATCATAATATCCATGATTGCTTGTGTCAAGGATCTATTTATTTACACTCGTATATTCTCATTAATCACTATGCAATATCATGCGCCCTGTATAAATACTCAATCTCTGTATTATACTAAAATCATCACATTTATCATCTTTAATGGTATCAGAGCCTTATATGCTCCCAAAAATTTGAAAATTCATCTATAAAAAAACCAGCAATTTTCGTTTTATTCACTAAGGGGGTTTACAAAACATTTCATAGTAATTTATATTGTAGAAACTTCTATCAAAAGATGATGTCTTCGAGGTTTCATTTTGTTGCTCTTCTCTTGATCATTATTTCTCTCGTTGTTAATGTTCAATCTACTCGTAAGTTTTTTTTTCTGATACTAAAAAATAGCATATTTTCCAGTATATAAAGTTATCATCAATTTTTATAATATATATAATCTCCCAAAAAACTTATAATAATTATAAGTAATTAATATATTTATAATTTGATTAATATAACAGGGATTATGGATGATTCAAGCGATTGTGTATTCAAAGGACCATGTCAAAGGAGGTCAGATTGTTACTCAAGGTGTGGATTGAAACCACCTTCTAGAGCTGCTTTGTGTCAACCTATGGGACTCCAAGGACGTGTATGTTGTTGTCTCTAAAAATCTGCAACTGAATATGATTGACAATATGTTCAAGGTTTGAAATAAAATATTTTATCATCTAAATAATTACCCAATGTATTATTATTTTCATATTACATGTCTCAGTATGTATGCAAATCGAATATGAATTAGACAGTAAATATTAATAAAACTTTGTATGACTGTATGAGATTATTATCTAAGAATGTTTTGATTTGCCTAGTCGTTCTACAAATTGAATCTGACATTTGAATTTGTATTTTCCTTTGCACAAATTAATCCCCAAAAACACTATTTGTCATGTCCTTGTAACTACTGTGATGGATAATAGTTGGACCGTTTCAAACATTTTATACATTCTAAAACAAAATATAGTCTTCTATATGATTCTACTTTAATTTTAAGAGTATATTATAATATAAGAAATGTGATTTTCCACAGTTCAAATTTTCTTTTAAACCAAAATTCTCGACAATTATTTTTTTTTTGCTAAAAAAATTAGTAGTTACAAAAATGAGCCTGGTCTCCATTTTTTTACCAAATTATATTATTAAAAGAATTCTCTTAAAGTAGAGGTAATGTGGGGCTGCTCTACTTGTATATGTGTAAACACACAAATTTGGTTAATTGTGTAAGAACCTAATGATCTTGAAAAAAAAAGCATGTGACTTAACATGACTATGAAAAACCAAACAAAGCTTTATAAGAAAAGAAAATTTCAACTTCCAATTCTATAGAGAGTAGTGTAATAACTTGAACCAAATTATTTTTAGAAACATAATGCGGTTTCTAAAAGCGTGGAAAGAGAATTCAAACAAGTTAAATGCGATCTAGACACAACTTTAATTATTGTCAACGCTCTCAAAACTCGTCATTAATACAAAAGAATAGAATTATCATAATGTCCAGCTAAAGATAATTTTCTTTAATCCTTTTCATATACATACAATATACTTAGTAAAAAAGAGATAAACGTGTGAAAAAAAATGTGCCCCAAAGAAAACAAAAGGATCAGCCCAAAAAACCTCAAAAGACATAAAATCCTAGAAAATACAAAGACATCGAAGGTCTACACAATAGTTGAAAATTGTGGTGATGTATTCTATTGTACATTAACCTAACTAACCATCTCGGTACCATGAAACAAACTGCTTACATATAGTGAGAATATTCTGCTACGTAAGCCAAATATGAAAAAGAAAAAGGTTCACGAGTTTGAAAATCCCCAAGGAAAAAAAAACCTAATGTTTTAAATTTATTTTTTCAAAATTAAGTAGACAAAGGAGAGAGAGACTTGAAAATGTATTGTAAAACACTCAAGCTGTCTGATTCCTAGAGATAGATGTGTGGCCATCGTTATCTAATAACTCCTACTTACTAACTATTTTTACAGTTTCATAAAATCTGTAATAATTACTATCTTCTTCTTTGAATCACATTTTCTGTCACATTAAATATTCTTCACCATCCTCATGTTCGATTCCCAATGTAAGAGAGAGAGAGAGAGAGAATTGCAGAGAAGATAGCTGCTTCCAACATCTCTTGTCTGGTAATTTAAAACTCAAGAACCAAAAACAGAAACTCAAGATTAGATTAAACTTAGCCACCTTTTGCTTGGGCTTTTGTTCCATCCACCATTCTTCTTAAAACTTTTTCTTGTCAGTCCCATATTCACTGTGTTAAAAAAAGTTTAAGCTTCAAAAAAAAGTTGTAAGACTTTTTCTTACTCAAAATGGGAAGAGACTGCCACGGTGGTGGCCGCGGTGGAGCCTTCTCTTCCTCTAAGTCAAAGAAAACAGCAAATGGATGCATGGCTGCTTTTTACCACTTATTTGATCACCTCACTATTGATTCTCCTTCAAGGTCAAAAGGTATAGTCTCTTAAGTTGAATTTTCTAAGCTTATGTTGGTTTTTGAGAAATACTAAAGTGTTGTTGTTCTTGTTGTTACTATGAAAATTGAAGGCTTGAAGTTAATAGAAGAGTCTCTACCATCAACAACTTACAAGGACAAACAAAGTTTGAACATTCCAGTAAGTAAAGACTTTAAAAATGGATTTTACTAATTTTTCTGGTTTATTTTTTGGTTGAGATAATTTTCTGATAATAGACCTTGAAATTGTAGGTAAGCATGAGAGTGAGAACAGAGACAGGGACAAAGAGTTCAAGACTCAGAGCTCTTGCGACTGATACTTCAACTTCTTCATCTGAAATCTGTAACTCACCAGGAAGCAAAACACCAAACTTGGTGGCTAGACTAATGGGTCTTGATCTTCTTCCTGACAAAACTAACCTAAACCATTCACTGTCAGATCTTCATACAATGTCGAGTCATCATGGATCAAGTCATAGACTTTCCAAGAAAGGGACACGATCTTTACCGGTGAGCCCTAGAATCTCCTCTGCTCGGAAATCGGATTTCGACATTCATCGCCTCTCTCTTCAGCTGAACAAAGAGAAAGAGTTTGGGTGTTCAAAGCTGAAACAAGATCAAGAGGAGAGTCATAGTCCGAGAGATTACGCGAGGCAGATAGTTAAACAAATCAAAGAGAGAGTCGTCACAAGAAGAGTCGTCGGTATCGATATAACAAACTCGGTGAAGAACAGAGAAGCAAGACCATCACATGAGCTTAGAAGAGATACAACAGTTTCTTGCTCACCAAGAACTAGGTTTTCAGATAAAGAGAACAAACAAAGCACCAGTTATAAACCTAATTCCTCTTCTTCTTCCAGACAAGAACCGATCATTCAGAAGCCAAAGCCAAAGCCAACAACAGTGATTCTTGTTTCAGTGTCAAAAGCCTCTGGTGAGAAACAGAGCCAGAACAGAGTAAAACAAAGGCAACTAAAACCAATCAACTTATGCAAGAAGGCAGAGAGTGAAACAAGACGTCCCATAAAGCCTTCTCCTACATCAGATATTCGAAACAGGAAGCGAGAGGCTTTCTTGTCTGAATCAACAGACGTGAAAGCCAAGCCTTTACACAAGAAGAAGTTCAAGAAAATACCAAAGTCAAATGATCTTGAAAACATCTCTGCGACAAGACCTCCTCAGAAACAGGTACAATCTAATTCAAGTTTCTCTCTGTCTCACACTAAATCTTCAACCTCTGATAATCCTCTTTTCGTGTTTTTTTCAAGATTAACGAAAGAGATCGATTAATATCGAATGAAGTAGCATCGATTCGCTCTAGTTTGATGCCAAAAAGCGAGAAGACTAGTCCACAAGTATCGATAAATCACAAATTAAACGATGAATCCACTGGAATAGATTCTGAAAAAGACTACATCACAAGAATAATGAATCTTGCGGGAATCAAGAATGACTCATCAACAACAATGCTCGATCCTTCGATTTTCCGCAAACTAGAGCATTTTGGAGATTATCCATCAGGAAGATTGGCTCTGGGATGGAATCGGAGGCTATTGTTCGATCTAGTGAACGAGATTCTGATTGAAAACGTGGCAAAACAACGCGAAAACTATCCGGGATCGGAGCTAATCAGCGAGCTCTGTTCCGCTGTTGCGAGATATAGTAGTAAGTGTTGTCCCCTTCCTGAAGAGATTGCTTTAATGGAAGTTGATCATATTGTAGAGAAGAAGAAGCTTGAAGAGGAAGGAGAAGAGATCATTGCAGAGATTGAGCGGGAGATCATAGACAAGCTCGTGCGAGAAACTTTGTCCGAATTGAGTCTTAACCAGAGACAAAGCAAAACGACGTCGCCACGTCGGTAGTAATATAATTTGTGGGCCTATAAGAATTAGAAATTTCTTATAGTTGGGCTTACGCTTTGCGACTAATTAAGTATTAGGATAGTTTCTTTATTGGGCCATTTGTATTAATTCTGTAATTTCCACAGGCCATAGGGTGTTTGTATAAAAAAAATATGAATGAATCATTACATTTTCTTAAACCACAAAAACACCATGAATCGTTCTTTAGACTAGACATGACCAAAAACTAACCGTAACCATATTTCAGACCGTAACCAGACCGTTTCTCAACCGTAACAAAAAAAAATACTAAAAACAATTATAACATCATTTTTGGGTTGTTAAACTGAAAATTATCTATCGCAATTCATAACAAATTTAATTGTTTGTTTCTATATAGCAAATTAGTATTTTTTCCACACAAATAACAGTTTTCTCCAAGAGGCGGGACCCACACCAGGTTAAATTCATATTCTTTGGAGAAGAGATCCCTCCCAACGGGCGTCGAATCTAGTACCTCCACCTGGAAGATTTACAACTGGGCCAACACAACGTTGGTAAAACTGTTAGGGTAAACTTTTTATAGTGACAGGCCTCACCGCTAAGCGGCCCCATATCCAGAGAAAAATCCACTCCGGCCTGGACCTACGGGTTAGTATACACCGCTTGCCCCTACTCGTATGGAGGAATTTTTATTTGGAGAAGCTCAGTACCACCGTGGTGGCAGAGTGACTCGAACTTGAAACCTCTGACACTCATCTGTGAGAAGGAAATACCACTAGACCATGGACTCCTTCTCCACAAATAACAGTTTTGAACATACTAGGATAAATAAACATCGGTTTTACAAAAGAAAACAGAAATTTAAGAGCTTACGTTACATTACATCCACAAATCAAAGCATAGTTAGAACTCTTACACATTACATTACTAAAAGAGAAGTGCTTGAAACACTATTAACAGAACAATAATTGAGATAGATAGCTAACGAGGTTTAACGACCAAGGACGATTTTTATGGTCGGCTCTACGGAAATCCAATAAATAAATCAGTTTCCACATCCTCTTTCTCTGTGCTTCCCGACGGCATCCCCATTGGCCTTTCTCCAACCTGACATAAGAGTATACATTATTTTCTTAGTTTGGATACATAATTATGGTAAAAGAAAACAACAATTACTACTATATAATTAGGTAAATATCCACAAAACAAGACATTGTTGGTTAAAGCATAATACGCCATATTCCAATTACCTCCATACATAAGTTGAACTATTATTGTTAATGAAAATGGGTTCAAGTTACAATGTTTATATCCATTTGTACGCATTTATGACTATATAAATATATGCACCCATATAGGTAATAGAAATTGGACCATATGGTACATACCCTTCGACAAAGCCTGACTCTCTCGTCCTTGAGTTCCCTCTCCTAATTTATAAAGAAGAGAGATCAATAAAAAAAAAAATACATGGCAAAGGACAAGAGATTCAAACAAAATCAAATTGTAATTATTCTAACCTTGGCTTTCAGTTTCTCTAGCTCATCTTCATATAACTTAGCCTACCAATATCAACCAATATAGAATCCACAAGAAAACTAAGCAATCATACAATTTTGAAAGTAAAATGAAATGTGTATATATTTTCGGGTTAATGCATTTTGTATATGTTACCTTTCTTAATCTAACAATATGAAGGCTTTTCTCTATCTGTGTGGCTATCTCCTGGAGTTCTTTTACCGAACAAGAAGCCAAACTTTGTCCCATCATTTTCCTAACAAAGCCACATTTTCAAAAGTGACCCTTTAATATATAACTACTTGAAAATCAACTCTATCATTAACAATGTAGAAAACAAATATGACACTTATATACAAACCAGTTATGGACTTCAAGCACTTCAATCTTTTTCATCATTGTCACCATTTCCTTCTTTAGCCCCTGTATACCCAATGGTTATACAAAAATAAAGCCAAAATGTGACTAGATTTATTTTCAACTTAAGTTTGACATGATACAAAAGGTTTGTAAGTCGTTGATGAAACTAGCTAGAGTAATAATTGAAGAGAATTTTTATATAGAAAGGAACCTGCACGTATTGCTCTATAGGATGTGTTTCCGCAACAAAGTACTCTCTCTTGTACTCAGCGTATCGCTTGATCGTCTTCCTGATACTAAAGACAATTCTCAAGAAAATCTTCATTAGTTTGTGAGATTTATAGAATAATATGTGAATACTCGCTCGCATGGTTAGTCATGTTATTCCATCAATGGCTCTTCATAATCACATATGGATATCATACTAGACAAGGTCTTATATATTGGTAGAGATAAACTAGACATTTGTTGGATATATATATATATATATATATGAGTGTCTGAATATACTAGAAATAAACTAGGTAGATATGAATAAAGTTTTGTTCAAAAAAAAAAAAAAAGATATGAATAAAGTATTCATGATTGATATATACATATGAGAATGATTTTCATAAAATTATTCTCAAACGACCATATATATGCCTAAATAGTGAGTCGTCCGTCCTAATTAACGAGCTAGACCATGGGAATGAACTTGGACTCTAAACATGAACAATATAAGTATGTTCATATATATATATGAACATACTTGAAGAAAGAATCATATACAAAGATTAGTTTAAACAAAACACTAATCTATTTCTCACATATACACGACATGATGGATTTTGTTTATGTACTTAAATTTATAAAATAATGTTGGTCAGAAAGATATTAAAGTACTGTACACAAGTACTAATTAGACAACAAATTCAACATCATGAAAAAATATTGAAATAGTATATAGATTGGAGTAATTAATCAAGCTGAAATTAAGAATCTCACTCGGAGCTAGCGAATTCATATAATCTTCCTTTCTGAGAGAAGATCATCGCTGCGACTTGAGCATCACATAGAACAGAAAGCTCATGAGCCTTCTTAAAGAGACCACTCCTTCGTTTGGAAAACGTGACTTGTCTACTTGTCACGTTCTCAATCTTCTTGATCTCGATCTTTCCTCTCACCATTTTAGTTAACACCTACAAAACCAATCTAGATTTGCTAAGAAATTTATGGAAACCCTAACTAAATGTGAAAGATTTGCTGGCAGATCAGAGAAACAAAGTCACAAGCTAGAATCCAAAAGTCATAACCCAGAAATGGTTTCTTGATTGAAACCAACCCAAAGATTAATCAGTGTGAGAACTTTACCAAGAAAATACGGGAAAAGTCTGAGAAGCAAGAGGAAAACCTTAAAACCCCTTTTAAGAGCTAGTTTTGTCGAGATTCGTTTTAAATATCCACTCAAGAAGACGAATTTGGATAGATAAGGAATAATTTACACAAGAAGGAAAAGAAACATAATTTGGTGGAAAGTGAAATCCTAAAAAAATTAACAGAAAAGATTTGTGTTTACCTCTCTTAGGCTCTTAGCGCAGGAGCCACAAACCCTAAAGTTTAATATGTTTTTAAAGAAAAAGAAAGAATCTGCCTTCTTTAATTTGGTAACGTTTTTTTTTTTCCATTAACACACGTAGGGAAAAGTAAGTAAGGAAAAAATAGACAAAGAGGAATCTATCTGTCTATGTAAAATCAACTTTTCGTAAAACCGGACCGGCTGAATCGGTTCTAATTCATGTCATCATGTGGGTCAATAAATTTGTCGAAACTTTTTTTTTTAACAATGACAAAATATAATTACATGATTTACATCGTAATTTTTGATTAAAGTTCTCAAGAATCTAACTACGAGCGATGTCATTACTAATTATTTTTAAAAAGGTATTGTAAAAATTATTTTCAGATTATCTCTAAGCATATTTCTCTTTTCCAATTTTATAAAAAATTCGGTCAATATCAAATTCAATTTTGAAATTTTTATTAATTTTGAGCAATCTGTTTGGAAAGACTATGGAGCAAGCTGGCTGTTTGGTTGAATGATTATAACCCTAAATCAAAAGACTTACTATTAGATTTTGTTTTCGCCAAAGGTTGATTTTCATTTTTCAATCATCATCAATGGGAAATGTAAAGGGAAAATGGACAACGTCTTCCATTGGCGCGTCGATATCATCAAATAGTTGACGTAAATCGATAAGCAATCAAATATATCCACGTGTATTTTCCACTTTCCCACAAAAATCTTAGACTAAGATTTGTTTTCTAACTATTCGTCTTGTTTAGTTTTGAGTTTTGACTAATTAGCTTCTTGAGAACTAAAATGTTCAATTACGGAATTGTATGAGCTATAAGACGACACCACATTAGACACATTTGCATTAGAAACAAAATGTTACACTTACTCCAAAATAAAAACTAAAATGACAACTTGTACTTGTCAAATTATTTCCAGTTTGATGTTGGATGCTTGTTAGAGACAAGAGTACAAGAGCGTAAGATGCAGAGTTTGATGTCAAGTATATTTCAGGATTGGTCTGTGCTGACAAATTACGAGTATAATAGACGTGGTCGCATTTGGGTCGTATGGCGTAACAATGCAAGGCTTAGTCCATTCTACAAAAGTGGTCAGCTTATAACGTGTTCAGTGAAATTGGAAGACCGAGAGGAGGAATTTTTTTGTTCTTTCCTCTATGCCTCAAATTTTGCAACAGAACGTAAAGAGTTATGGAATGAGCTGCGAGATCATTATGACTCTCAAATCATCCGAAATAAACCATGGATTATTTTCGGAGATTTTAATGAAATTCTAGATATGGAGGAGCACTCCCGAGGAGAGGAGAATCCCCATATTACGTCGGGGATGCGTGATTTCCAAGCTGCGGTAAATTATTGTGCTCTCACAGATTTAGCTTCTGGCCCGCTCTACACCTGGAGCAATAGACAAGAAGGTGATCTTATATCCAAAAAGTTGGACCGGGTATTGGTGAATGACTGTTGGAAGCAGAGTTTTCCGCATTCGTATAATGCGTTTGAGGCAGGAGGGTGCTCGGACCATTTACGATGTCGGATTAATCTCAATATGGCAGCTGGCGCACGTGTCAAGGGGAAAAAACCGTTCAAATTCATTAATGCAATCACGGATATGACTGAATTTAAGCCGATGGTGGAGGACTACTGGTCCAAAACAGAGCCTATTTTCATGTCAACATCTTCCATGTTCAGATTTACAAAGAAGCTGAAAGCTTTAAAGCCGAAGATAAGACATTTGGCAAAAGAAAGAATGGGAAATTTGATAAAGCAAACAAAGGAGGCGTACGAAACGCTCTGTGAGAAGCAAGAAACGAATTTAAAAACTCCTTCACCACAAGCCATGGAAGAGGAAGCTACTGCTCATGATAGATGGGAAAGACTGGCGGGTATAGAGGAGAAGTTCTTAAAGCAAAAATCCAAGCTTCACTGGCTTAAGGTGGGAGACAAAAATAATAAAACCTTTCATAGAGCAGTCATGGCTAGAGTAGCGCAAAATTCAATCCGGGAGATACAGAGATAGGATGGAAGTGTCACAGCAAAAGAAGAAGAGATTAAAGAGGAAGCTGAAAGATTCTTCAGAGAATTCTTACAGTTGATACCTAATGATTATGAGGGAGCTACAATGGAGGACCTAGCTGACTTGTTACCGTTTCGGTGTAACGATGATGAGAAGGAGAGACTAATAAGACCAATCACAGAGATGGAAATCAAGGAGGTGTTATTCTCCATGCCTAATGATAAATCGCCGGGGCCAGATGGGTTTACCACAGAATTTTATAAAGAAACATGGGACATTATCGGTATGGAGTTTGTGGTGGCTGTGAAATCTTTTTTTGAAAAAGGTTTCTTACCAAAAGGAGTTAACTCTACTATTCTTGCCCTTATCCCTAAGAAATTGGAAGCGAGGGAGATGAAAGATTACAGGCCAATCTCATGTTGTAATGTGCTCTACAAAACCATCTCGAAAATCATTGCAAATAGACTTAAAATGGTTCTCCCACAGTTTATCGCGGGAAATCAGTCGGCTTTCGTGAAAGATCGCTTATTGATAGAAAATCTGCTGCTTGCGACGGAGATTGTAAAGGACTATCACAAAGAGTCAATTTCAGAACGCTGCGCTATAAAAATCGACATCTCCAAGGCTTTTGATTCTGTTCAGTGGTCTTTCCTCAGGAATGTCCTCTTAACTTTAAATTTCCCCCCAGAATTCGTTCATTGGATTATGCTTTGCGTTACCACAGCGTCATTCTCGGTCCAAGTAAATGGAGAATTAGCGGGTTTTTTCAACAGCTCACGTGGCCTGCGACAAGGATGTTCACTATCCCCTTATCTCTTCGTTATAGTTATGGATGTGTTATCTAAAATGTTGGACCGGGCAGCCGGAGATCGGCGTTTTGGATACCATCCACGATGTAAAAGCATTGGCTTGACTCACCTTACTTTTGCTGATGATCTCATGGTGCTATCTGATGGTAAAATTCGATCTATCGAGGGTATCATGGAGGTATTTGATCAGTTCGCAAAGCGCTCAGGTCTCAAAATCAGTGTGGAGAAGTCCACTATTTACCTTGCGGGAATATCAGACTCGGGTCGCAGCGAGATTGAGTCTCATTTTCAGTTTGCTGTAGGTTGCCTCCCGGTGAGATACCTTGGACTGCCTCTTGTCACAAAGCGTCTCACGTCAACTGATTACAGCCCTTTGCTTGAACATATACGGAAGAAAATAGGGACTTGGACAGCACGTTTTTTGTCCTACGCAGGACGACTAAACTTGGTCAGCTCGGTTTTATGGAGTATATGTAACTTTTGGCTCGCCGCTTTCAGACTTCCTCGGGAGTGTATCAAAGAGATCGATAAGATTTGTTCCGCTTTTCTTTGGTCTGGTCCAGATTTAAATGCTCATAAAGCAAAGGTTGCATGGGAGGTAGTGTGTAGGCCAAAAAAAGAAGGGGGACTTGGATTGAGATCTATCCATGAGGCAAACGATGTTTGTTGCTTGAAATTAATCTGGAGATTAATCTCGCATGCGGACTCGCTGTGGGTAACGTGGATAAAAACCAATCTTCTTAAACAAGACACATTTTGGTCAATCAAGCAAACGTATCAAGGCTCTTGGATGTGGAAAAAGCTATTAAAATTCAGAGAGGTTGCAAGAGATTTCTGCAAAGTTGATGTAAAGAATGGAGAAAGAACGTCATTTTGGTATGATAATTGGTCAAGTATGGGGCCGTTGTTTGATGCTGCAGGGGAACGAGGCCAAATTGTTTTGGGAATTAGTAAACATAAAAAAGTTGCAGAGGCATGGGTTGGCCGGAGACATCGCCTGCATCGAGCTGAACTTCATAATAAAATTGAGAGGGAATTGCTTTCTACACGGCGAAACAGAGCAGAGGAAGAGGACATTGTCCTTTGGAAGGGCAAGAACAATCTCTATCGGCCAAGATTCTCCACCAAAGACACTTGGCAGCTTACACGGACTGTTTCAAATGAAGTCGCTTGGCACAAGAGCGTTTGGTTTGCTCATGCTACGCCCAAATTTTCCTTTTGCGTTTGGTTAGCAGCTCAAAACCGCTTATCAACGGGTGACAAAATGACACATTGGAATAGAGGTCTCTCCACAGGATGTGTTCTCTGCAACAACACTTTTGAATCACGTGATCATCTCTTTTTTTCCTGCAGATTCTCCTCTGAAGTATGGCAGGCCTTGGCAAAAAATATTTACCGATCAAGATATTCCACAAACTGGCACGATTTGATTGGCACTACGTCTGGTCAATGGCAGAACAGAATCATAAGCTTCCTTGCTCGCTATATCTTCCAGGCAACGATCCATGCTATTTGGCGGGAACGAAACGGAAGAAGACATGGTGAAGATCTGAACCCTCCAGCTCGATTAATCAAATGGATAGATAAGCAAGTCAAGAATCAGCTCTCCTCAATCAAAGCAACCGGAGACAGAAGATATGATACGGGTCTCCAAATCTGGTTCGCGGCTAGGAGTTAATGTCTATAAACCAAGTTTGCTAAAGTCATGTTTTCCTTAAGATTTCTCAAACACACGATGCACTCGATGTAAAAACGAACATTTTACTTTTGAATCTAATTTAACATTACATTCAAAAAAAAAAAAAAAAAAAAAAAAAAAAAAAAAAAAAAATTATTTCCAGTTTATACACATATATTAAGAGATCGCCAGAGCACTCAGAAAACAATAAACTATATGGAAGCATTATAGTATACAAACATGGAACCGAAGTAGTAATTAAAACTGTGAGCCAAGTTACGGAACGTGTGAAATATGTTATAGCCGAGTCACGGGCAATCCAATAAATAGATCGGTTTCAACCTCCGATGAATGTTTGGTTCTGCAACCACCTTCAGTTTTACCCTTATCACAGATTTGTAAAGTTGGTTGTACCACTGGTCGCATCAACATTTCTCTAATTTGCTGAAAATATAAAGTACAAAGTTATTTTTCGTAATATGTATACATAGAAATCATGAACGAGGGATAGCTCAGAGACATATATCCATAGACCTATTATTATCTATATGTTTCTTTTTGATATATAGTAAGAAATATATATAAGCAAAAAAAGAAAAGTAAATGTAAACGTAAATACAAACACAAACAAACAAGGCCTCAATAGTTCTAAAATTAATCCGTCTTCAAATAAACCATGATTCTTCTTGTAAGAAGAAGTCTTAGAAATGGGATGAAATATATATCTAAGCTTCTACTTAAACGAAGAGCTATATTTAACTAAAATTCATGTGTGTCTTATGTTTATCCTATGATAAGTGTGTGCGTAATTACCTCTTCACGCAGCCTTTTTCTCTCGTTCAAGAGCTCCATCTCCTAGAATCCGAGTAAGAAAGATCGATTAAAATTACATGGAAAAAATTTAATACAACCGATCCCATTAATTAGAATTTGTATATAAGTTACTCAGGTAAAAAATTTACCTTTTCTTTTAGCTTTTTCAGTTGATCTGCATATAACTCAGCCTACGCACCAAGATCAACCAATGAAGACATTATTACGTACATCGTTAACATGTGTGTATATTAATCTATGTGTATGTGTGTGTCTGTGTGTTTGTACCTTTCTTGACCTGACAATACGAAGGCTTTTCTCAATTTGAGTGTCTATATCTTGAAGTTCTGCCACTGAACACGAATCCAAACCTTGCCCCATCAACTTACTTCATATATATTGGCATTCAAGAGATAACAAATTTCAGTATATTTTAGGACTGAAACAAAGAATAGTTATATACAATGGATAGAGTAACCATAGGATTAGTGAGGTGTGAACCGGTGATGAACTTCAAGAAGATCAATCTTCTTCACCATTCTATTCATTTCCATCTTCAGCTCCTATACAACCCCAAAAATAGTCAATATCATCTAAATACATTTCGAGTCTAACATAATGTACATATCAAAAAATTTAAAATAAATGAAGAAACTAAGATAAGGAGTATGTATGGATATAGAGAACCTGCAAGTATCGTTCTACTTGGGGCCTCTCTGCCACATACAAGGCATTACTAAACTTGCCATATCTTTCTATGATCTTCTCCATCCTGAAAAGTTAATTCAAAAGAGATGCTTTCTTTATCAGTGATGCATGATGACATTCATGAGACTGAAATATTATGTGTGAATATTCTTACAATATATAAATCAATGTTCAAGAAAGCGGTCTAGGTAACATTCTATAAAATCAAATTCGTTTTTGCAATCACCAAAACCATTGGAGAATTGGTTTGCTGCAAAATGAATCAAAATGAAACAAAAGGGAATTATGCAAATTGAATCCTACTCTCAAAGACTGTACTACTTTTTAATCCAATTTGACCATATGACCAAAACAAAAAGGATAGTAAGAACTATGTATCGACTTTTTGTTGGCTCCTAGAATGTATATATTCATGATTGAAAATCTAGTGAAAAAGTTTGGATCCCCGAGAGATTTTTTAAATCTTCTTCTCATGCATAATATATACAATTTTCTGTACTTACATGTAACTACATTTTCGGATAATCATTTCTTGTTGGATATTCGAATAAAACCATATGCCAAGTGGGTGTGTGGGTAAACAGTTTAAGTTCCAAGGTATACGAGGTTCACTGTTCAAGAAACCTCTTTTTCTGAAAACCCTAATAAAATCCACTTGCTCGTGCTTGAAGAACAACTCTCTTAGTCAAACTTTCTAAGTTGGCTTAAATAATATCAAGAAGTACTTACAAAAATTAAATTAGAATTGTTGGGCAAATTCAGGAACTAGCTTGCACCAAAAAAGTAAAAAGGGGACAAATCTTTAACGTGTATATTGCAAAATCTCTAGTACGATTTCACCAGAAAAATAAAACTATTCACTACAGTTCACTACAGAAGTTCTAGACACTCAATAAATCTAGGCGTAGAGAAAGATTTTAGAAATAGACATGTGTAAAATAATTTGAAATAATTAAATGAAAGAAAATCTTACTCGGAGCTAGAGTATTCATGTAATCTTCCACTCTGAGAGAAGACAATGGCGGCGACTTGTGCATCGCATAGAACCGAAAGCTCATGAGCCTTCTTAAATAGACCGCTCCTTCGCTTCGAAAACGTGACTTGTCTGCTCGTCACGTTCTCAATCTTTTTGATCTCGATCTTCCCTCTAACCATTGCTCCTACGATTATTATTCCAAGATTAATCAGATTTGAAACCCTAACTAAATCCGAAAGGAAATTTCATTCAGACCAAACCAATAAACGATTTCTTGAAAAACGAGAAGGAGATTCAAAGCCAGAAGTCAAAGGTGATAACTTGAAAAATGTTGGAAACTGAGGAGATCCAAAACCAGATTTGTCTAGATTCACTTCAAAATTAAAGCTCCATAGAACATAATTTTTTCCAGACAAAAATCAGCCGACAAAGTTAGAGAGGGATATAATTTGCACATCTTACAAAAAAAAAAAAAAAAAAAAAGAATGAAAAGCTTAATAATGGCGGAAAGTAAAACCCTAAATCTAAATTTCAGAGAGAGGCATGAGCTAGATCTTATGATGATATACTCTGTGTTTACCTCTGTGCCTCTTTGTACAGGAGCCACAAACCCTAAGTCTAAGCTTTAATTTGCTTTTTGTGTTCTGATTAATTGGACCGAGAAAAGGAAAAAGAAGAAAAGAGATTTTTATTTTCTTCTTTTGGTGATGCTAGTTGAATTAATAATTGAACATCAATAGAGAGAATATAATTCAAAAAAACAGAAGAAAACAAGTGATTCCCATGGCTTCTGATTAAAGAAATGTCCATGACTTTATCTGTTTTTGGTAAAATTAAGAATAGAGAGCAGAAGGAAAAACAGGTGATTAACTAAAAAAGAAACGTTTTTTGAATATTAATCAAGGACTAATTTCTACGAAACCGGTGATTATTTGTTTTTTTATTTGGACAGAACAGAAAGAGTGGGTGGGATAATAATAATAATAATACATCTAAAAGAATAGTGTTCTTCGATTGGCGTGTCGACATCATCGTACACTGACGTGCATTGTTAACCAAATATATTAAGACACGTATGTTTTCCACTTTTCCCAAAATCACAGTCACCTTCTGTGTAATGTGACCTCGTCTTCATCAGACAACACACAGATTCCTTTTTCCTCTTTTACATGGTTCTTTGTTATGTTTAGTAATATTCCTCTTTTCTGTTGAAAGAAAAATGATAACATTATGTGTCTAAATATAAGCAAAAGTGGAATAAAGTAACTCACCATTATGTCCTAAATCTAAGTCGTGATAAGGGAATATGAACTCTTCTTTCTTCTTTTTTTGTTTTGGTCGTGGGACTCGATCAACATTGACTTTCATTCATACTACATCAATTTGCATTCATATTACACCAATTTGCATTTAATTAATTTATAATCATAACATATAGTTTAATGATTTGTGTTACCGTTGTCATTATGAATGCTCTAAGAGAGTCATATTACTCAATCATGATTCTGGATTCGGATAGTTGTGGTAGATTAATATGTTTGTAGATTAGATATAGAACATTCTTTTACAGAATAGATAAAATTTTGTTGCGATTTGTAATTTAATTTTCCACCATCAAATATATTCCTTTTGTTATCTACATTATTGCAAACCAAAACTTATGGAACCAAAAATCATATCATCCATAAACAGGCTAATATATATATACTAGGTGTTAGCCCACGCGACGCGTGGATTATTCTATAATGGCTTCAATTATATTTCTAAATATAATAAAAAATAAAATAAAAATTTCAACTAACATAGTAAAAAAGAAATTATTATTTTTCTAGAAAATTAAATCTCAAAATTTCCTATATGGCAACGATGTGGAAGTGAAATGGTCATATAAAAACAAAGTGGAACCTTGCATTTTTGTCAAATTTATTTAGTATGGTTATTTATCATACCAAATTTAAAATAAAATGAAAAATCTATAGAACAAACTTAGAAAAATAAAACAAACAAAAGTATTACAAAATTTATAGGATATATTAATATAAAAATCTATACATTTTTCCTAATTTAGTGAACAAATCATATTTTATTTAATTAACACCCATGAGGCTATATATATTTTTACAAATTTAATAAACAAAAATAAGAATCTATCCATTATATTAAAATTTAACTAAAAATATTTCATCTTGAGAGACAAGTAAATTACGACGTTAACCTATTATTATCATACCTATCATCATATTTTCACCATTTTTCCGAGATTATCCGAACACTTGCCTCAAGTTAGCCACCATTTGAACTTTATAAACCTTGTGCTCTACATCTGCTTGTGAAGTTGTGATTTCATGAACCTCCATAACCGATCCTCTTCCTTTCAAAACTTTGTTTTCCTATCATACATATCCTCATTTCTTTCTCATGGATCCTTGCTTGCTTATATAATTGATTTTATTTTCCATAATCCACTCATTTCTTCATATACATTTAATGGTTTAAAATACATTTGATGCTTTCACATCTTCCTCTTTAGTTTTTAGTTCTACCATATTGTGAAGAATATGGTTCGGAGAAGATGCAAAAAATTCATCAATTACATTTACAACAAAGCAAAAATCAAAGAAGATCTTAAAGAAAAACAAAAAACAAAAAACAAAAGAAGATATATGTAACCAAGACTTAACTAACAATAGGAAATTAAACAATATAAAATATATCACAAAAATTAAAAGGCTGAACTCTACAGCTAATATGAGTTCAAAACTAAAGTGCACATCTAAATATATATACACGTAATATTTCCATGTTAATATTACGTTAGAACGACATTACTTTTTCTTTTAGAGTTTTTAGTTAACCGTTAGAAAAATGAGAATTCAATGCCTAAGCTAATGATAATGTACATTTATTCATGAATTCGAAAATTATGATAATGTGAATTCAATCTCGTTGTATATTGTATTTTAGAGTCATTTAATAATATTGTCTTATATTTACCATTCAATTCATGAATTGTAGTCAATATATATAATCAAATATTTAATATATTTTAGTGGGAGAGTGAAGTTTTTGTAACTACTAGATGTTTGCCCACGCGACGCGTGGGTTATTGTATACATTTTTTTTATATAAAAAATATAAATGAAATATATTGTGTAAGCAAAACAACAATAATAACGCATACATAAAAATAACAGATGAATGAGATAGCTAACAGATCAATATATAGATTTAAGATTTTCACTTAATATTTTCGAGACTACAACTTGGTTCAATATATGTTTTACTTGCCTTTTTCCAAAGCATTACTAAATTTCAACTACCAAAAGATAACCATATGAAAAGTCATTGTATATAGTAGTCTTCTCCTTCTTCTCGTTTTAGTCTTCTTGATTTTCTTCTTAATCTCTCTGCAAGAATATCAAATTTATTTGAGTCAACCCAAATTTAGGTTAATATAGATTGAATATAATGAATGTTGTCGGCAAAGAAAACCTACAATAATGCATCTTCTCTACTCTCTTCTTTTGAAAGACATCTAAAGTAGCACAAACGATTGACCGTACGTAGGATTTTTGGTTTCATGTAACCTCCTCTTCATAATCTCTTACAAAAGTGGCAAAAATATATATATTGAAACACCATTTGTTGAATTAAAAGAGAAAATGTTATACAATTTACCAATAATAGAAAACTTGGAATATGATGGTTTGTGAGATGTGTGTCTTAATATTTATAGCGAATTTGTTTGTACATTTCAAAGAATTCATTGTGAAGAAATCATTTTGAATTAAATGATTTCATCTTTATAGTACAAGCTAATTGGAAATGGAATATCAAAAAATATATATATATATATAGAAAAATCCTTACACTACAAAATTTTAATTAAATAAATTTTTTAATGATCTTTATATTATTATATGTTGAATCAATAAAATTAAATATAATGATGAGTATACAATTTTTTTGGAGGTAAGAGAGAGTTAAGGAAAATTAATTTGATAATTGTATTACAAAAACTTATTTCGTTAAAACAATGCATAATTTTAAAAATAAAATAAATATATATGAATATGTAAGAAATAATCAAACATTCAAAGTAAAAAAACTGAAGATAGTTTCTTTAGCTTGATTCCCTTATTGCGCTATGGTAGGAATTAAAAATTTTGAACCTGCGTCAATTAGATAATTTTATTATAGCCATCAAAATTATAATATACATATGTAATTTTAAATTTTAAAAAAATATTATTAAAGAAAAACAAAGAAAGAAGGAAGAAATACATTAAAAAAAATACAATTGAAAAGAATGTAAGATATATATATTAAACAAAATAAATAATCAAACTCTTACAATGATATCTTAATTGAGTTTTCAAGTCATATAAGAATATAAACAAAACAAAGAGAATATTTAGGATTTGAGATATGGTGGAGGAGGATGTGAGAATGGTTATTTATAGTAAAATAAGTGATGGAAGTTACATTTCTAAACTAATTAGATTATAGGAGTTACAATTTTAATTATAGTGTGTTTAAATGATAATGAATAGAGAAAAAAATAGTCAATTTACAATTATGTAATTTCAGTTACAATTGAGTAGTAAAGTGTAGATTTAAAGTTGGATTAATGTATATGATTAAATATGTTATATTTTAAATTTAATTGAAAATAAATATTATAATTTTAAAAATGCCAAGTGGACCAATCAAGAGAGAGTGAAACCCTACTTTTATATGTATGATTAGGTAGGAGTTACACTTGGATTAAATGTGGAGTTATATAGTGCAATGAAATTTTTTTTTATATAATTATTGGGTAGGAGTTACATTTGGATTAAATGTGGAGTTTATACATGACTTTGAATATGAGTTAATTAGAATTTAGAAATAAATATTATAATTTTGTGTTGTTTTGCTTATGCGTGGCTTGTTGCATATTTTCATTCTTAAACATGTAAAATTATTATGCGTATATTAACATTTTTAGATATGGTAGAGGAAAATTAGAAAATGTTTATTTATACAATGATGAATGGTGGAAGTTACATTTGCAAAATAAATGCATTTAATGAGTTATAAAGTTTATAAAATTAGTAGGAAAACTATTCAAATTAGTAGAATGGGTACAAATTTATTAAAAATATTACAAAAATATATTTGAGATAAGAAAGAAATAGTTTTAGAAGAAGAAAAAACCACAAATCTTGAATAAAATAAAAATTATAATGATCATTATAAATATATTGGATCACAGAAACTAAATGTAATGATGAGTATATTAAAATGCTGCCAAAAATTATTTGAGATAAGAAAAAAGAAATTTAAGAAATAAAGAAATTAAAACACACAAAAATTAAATAATAATAAATATAATAATAATATTTTATATAATTGTCTATTGGATTAACAAACTAAACATAATGATGGTGAGTAAATTAAAACATATTACAAAACAATTATTGAGATAAAAAACAGAAAAGTACAAAAATTGAATTAAATAAATATAATAATAATATTTTATATAATTGTCTATTAGATTAACAAACTTAACATAATGGTGATGAGTATATTAAAAATATAAGAAAACAATTATTGAGACCAAAAAAAAAAAGTAGGTACAATTTCTTTGATAAATGTATTACAATAATTATTTCAGTTTAAAGATACATGAATATGTAAAAAAATAACTAAATGTCTAACGTAGATATTGGAGATGGATTTTTTCAACTTGTTCTCCTTGTTGTGCTATTGATTGAATTGCTCTTTTTGAATCTCCATCGATAAATATGAATTTTTTGTTATAACCATCAAAAATTTATTATTCATAATTATTTTGAATTAAAAATATGAAAATTAAAGAATATTCTAGTAACACATTAGAATTAAAATAAAATTGGAAAAAAATGTAAAATACATACCATATCAAGACATAAAATTTAGAAGCAAACTATTATAATGATGTCTCAATTGATTTTTCAACCAATGCAACAACAAAAGATTGAAAGAAAAAAAGTCGAAAAATACTTATGAATTGAGATATGCTAGATGAGGATGAGAGAATGATTATTTATAGGATGAAATGATGGAAGTTACATTTAGAAAATAATTAAATTAGGGGGTTACAATTAAAATTAATAGTGTTGTTGAATGACATTGAGTGGAGACAAATATTTAATACATAATGTATATAATTTCAGTTATAATTATAATTTCAGTTACAATTTAGTACTTAAAAGAAGATTAATGTGTATGATTAAATATGTTGTATTTATACTTTAATTGGAGATAAATATTATTATTTTTAATTTTTGTTTTTAAAATAATTGCCAAGTGGACCAATCATGGGAGAGTGAAACCCTACTTTTATATGTATGATTAGGCCTGGGCTTTCGGTTAACCGTTCGGTTATCGGTTGGGTCCATTCGGTTTCGGTTCTTTCGGTTTCAAAATTTAGTATCCATTCGGTTATTTTGAAATTTCGGTTCGGTTTCGGTTCGGTTTCGGTTCTTTCAGTTTTAAAATTTAGTATCCATTCGGTTATTTTGCTTAGGGTATTTTCAGATATTTCGGTTATTTTTGAGTATTTTCGGATATTTTTGGATATATTTCGGTTATTTTCGAGTATTTTTACTATTTTTATATATTTTTTAAGTATTTTTGATTATTTGGTCTATAAATAACTAATTATTTTGAAAATATAATTGTATTTCGGGTATTTCGGTTACCCGAAATATTTCGGTTCGGTACCAATTCGGTTACGGTTATTTCGGTTATAGAATTTAGTATCCATTCGGTTATTTTCAAATTTTCGGTTCGGTTCGGTTCGGTTTTTTTTTCTTCGGTTTCGGTTCGGTACATTCGGTTCGGTTTATTTGCCCAGGGGAGATATTTTTGGATATATATCTGTTGTTAAAGAAACATTCTTGTAGTTGGGTCATACGCAATATATATCTGTTGGGCTGACTATACAAGCTTGGGCTTCAACAAAATTAATGGGTCTCGAGAATATTTGTTTTTGTTTTTACCCTTTTCTTTAAAATCTGATTTTAAGTTTTTAACTAAAACAAATTATAAATGAATTTAACACATTTAAATCCTCTGATCTTAAATCTCCAGAAGAAACCCAGAAACACGAAGATGGGAGACAAAGGAGAATCAATAAAATGGCCAAAGATCAAACCCAAATCGAATCTCAATGTCTCTTATCTCAAGAATCATGATCTCTTCACCGTAAGTTCCTCACCAAAATCATCAACCCATTTCATTATTTTCCCCCAATTTTAGTTTAACCTAATCGGTGTTTAGGGTTTATATGATCGTAAAATCTGTAAATGTTCATCGATTTCTATGATCAGATTCTTGTAATTGACAAATTTTTGAAGTCAAATTTATGAGCTTTAGCTTTGTTCGAATCTATATATGTTAAAGCCATGAACTTTGTGAATTGCTTTCTCTGATAAAAAAATATGAATCCTTTTTATGGGTTTATGGTTTCAGGTGGAGAACTGTTTGAGTTCTGATGAATCAAAGGGTTTTGTTAAAATTGCAGAGTCTATTGGTTTCACTCACCAAGGAAGTCGTGGACCAGCCTATGGTGAAGCTTTTAGGGATAACCATCGGATCTCAGTGAACGATCCTGTTCTTGCTGATACGATATGGCAATCGGGTCTTTCTGATTTGTTTACTGATATCAAGATTAGGAGGAAGGTTGCTGTTGGCTTGAATCCTAACATTAGATTTTACAGGTTTGATGTCCCAACGTTTTCGAAAGTTTCATTCTTTGTTTCATTAGAGTGGTTAAATTGTGGAACGATGTGTAAAGAATATGTTATTGTCCTGTTTCTCCATTGGCACTCTACAACGTTGTAGATTCGTCATGGGAGGAAATTTCCTAAAGTTTTTGCCATAATGTGATTGTTAATTTCAGGTATAGTGCTGGTCAGCATTTTGGTCGTCACATCGATGAAAGTGCTGATCTTGAAGATGGAAAGCGGACCTATTACACATTGTTGATATATCTAAGCGGGAACGGCACGAAATCAAAATCCAAGAGCAGTTCAAGCAAGGCGAATGATTCGACTTCAGCTGAGCCTTTAGTAGGTGGAGAAACCGTCTTTTATGGTTTAAGGAACAGTATCGTAGCTGAGGTAATTAACTCTCGAATAGTTTATTCGTCTTAATTTCATATTTTATTGATTGATATATCGTCAACGAAAACTTGTTTATTACCGCAGGTAGCTCCAGTGGAAGGTATGGCTCTCTTTCACATCCATGGAGACAAGTGCATGTTGCACGAAGGAAGGAATGTTTCCAAAGGCGTCAAGTATGTGTTCCGTTCTGATGTTGTTTTTGCATGAATAACGCTGATCCAACTTCTCTGTATTTTGTGTTTCTCACATTAATTACCTTCATACAACATTATGAACCATCGATTAAGCTTGTGTAGATCGCTGTTTACCTGAATCAAGCCCAAGGTATAACAAGCCATGAGTCATGGACTCAGTTTTCTAAGTTTGTTTTATGTTAAATGAGTCATATTTGGTGACCAGTAAGTGAAATTTCGGATGAATATATAGGTAAGTTCTCTGAAGCAGAACAAATTTACTTTTAAAGCATACTCTGCAATTCATAGAGAATTAGAAGGTTTAATAACCGATCCATAAGTTGGCCGGTCTACATTATTATAATATCAAGTATAAATGAAATCAAATTTGAAGAAAAGAAAACTCTCAATTGGTTGCTTGTTAGGGTTATGCTTTTAGTTGACGAAGCGAGTGTTAACTCTCACTTGTCCGGTCTCCTTGACTCCAAAGTTTCCAAGTTTTACCATGGAAGCTGCAAACTCTCTGAAGAAAGCTTTTTGGTCTCGAGCAAACGTCTCAACGATCCACTTAGTCCGAGAATCGCCTAGAAGGGCCTGATCAGACCCAAACACTCCTTTCCCGGACAAAATCTGCTTGTAGTAAACATTGTCGAAAACCGAGGACGTGGAGTCCAAGACTGTCCCTGCGTTCTTGCCTCGGTTAGATGATCTCGGGCATTTCTTTTTCAGGGTTTGTGCGAACGCATAGTTCATCGAAGGATCAATGTCGTGCAATTTGCTAAAGTTTTGAAGACGGGACTCGAAAGAAGAACAGTGAGAGAACCCTATGGTGTGGCCACCTGAGAGCGTAACCATGTCTTTCACCGACAATCCTCTTGCTGCAAAGCTTTGGATCAGTTGAGAAACATTAAATGTTGGTGCTGGGAGATTTCTAGTCTCGTTGGCTCGCGAAATTGTCCCGTCTTTTCGCCCTTTCAGTACGCTCCAATAAGGACCACCGGACTAAATGAAAAACATTACAAGGGGCATGGACAAGTAAATCATTAACTGGATATATAGATAATAAAGGGATCACTCTATTACGAAAACTCACCAGGGTGACCACATCTCTGGCTGCAATGGCGATTACATCGGCACAAGACACGGTACGAGGACAAGCCTTTTCTAGCTTTCTCTTAGCATCTTCGATCACGTAAAATGACCGTACCGAGATGTTAGGAGGACCATCCTTCTCAGCTTGGTTTGACCGTGTCGAATCAAGTAGAATGGACGCATCACATCCCTACAACAACACAAAGTCACAAACCAAATAATTTAATCAAAACTCAACTTCATATCTAACTGGATCAATTATCAACGATCAAAGAAAGAAGATCAAGATGCATACCCTGATGAAGCAATCGTGGAAGAACATTCTGAGGAGACGAGCAGGCACTTTGGGATCATACAAAGTAGCATTCCTAACAGTTTCAAGTATGATTTTTTCAGCAGCGGGGCACGATCGATCATAGTAATGTGCATCAAGAGCACCTTCTGATGGCTTAACTATCGCCAAAACCACAAACATCATCGCGAAAATGAGTCCTTTCGAGAATGCCATTTTATGGTTTTTTGTTTTTGTTTTGGGCCTCGAAAAGCACTCTTTTGTTCTTGAAGTTGTTTGAGGATTTGATGATGAAGAAGAAGCGGGACTATTTGGCTTTTATAAGGAGAGAAATGAGAGGCTAATATTCTAGAAAATGTGTATGTGTATAGTATAACATATGCTTTAAAGTTACTCAAATTATTTGGAACAAACATGCATATAATCCGGTATTCAAATTCTTTTCTCCTTGAAATCGTACTTTGAATCTAAGCATGTACTTTGGTGAAACTTAGAATATATGCAGCAGAGCTGGACAGAATCTGTTTTTGGTAACCATAAAAAAAAGTGTATTATATAACGTTTTAATGAAGGTTTTTTTTTATAAAACAAATGGATGTTCTTGTATTTAAAATTTATTCTAAACATTTTTTAGATATATTAACGGAACCTATAAGCTTAAAATAATTTTCTTTTAAGTTAAGTAACTTAGATAAAAACTGTATTTTTTTTTGTTATGTAACTTGAATTAAAAAAAATCCCATGTACAATAGAATTCGGATGGTGCCAAATAAGGAAAGTACACGAAGGGTTTAGAATCCGGATGGTACCAAATAAACCATATCCGAAAAGGTGGTTGTTGTGATTATCTTAAGTTTAAATATGAGTAATGAAGACTATAATCAGATGTAAAATGGTGGCATAATGATGTGTTTGTGTCTGTTTGGATAGAGTAAGATTGAAAATAAATAAAGAAGAGAATTAAACTAGAAGATGGTCAAAAAAGGGCAACTACTGTTGAGTTATACCTATCAGTGTTTGGTTTCAATTGCCTTGGCTTCGCAGTACGGTTGGTGAAGGATTTGTGGTACTATTTTTTTCTGCATCCTTTTGTTTTGCATCTCACTTGTACGGCACTATTTGCATTGTAGTCACAGAAATTATTATAAATATCCTAAATAAAAATTTTAATGAGAAAAATTAAAATACATTAAAACTGGATTTTGCGTATATGAGTATATGACCGACGACGGATACATGATTTTGATATGGTTGACAACAAAGAAACAAATTTTTTTGGATACGGTTTAGTTTACTTTAGTTCCGGTTCAGAAAAATGATATACAATAAAGATGGTGTAGTAATCAAAACAATAATTATTTTTTATTTGATCAGTTTACTTTATTCATGAATTGTCATTCTTGTATCATGTCAAACATTAATGGGGGATCAAGAGTAACAACATTCTAGTACTCTGGTATTTTGGCGACGTTCATCGTCTTCGGTTTGGTTCACGACTTGCTTTTCTTCTGTTTAACTCGTGAAATGCTCACAGGGGAAGTTATTCTGTTCTTCATGTTACAAGGCGTTTGCCTTGTGCCGGAATTGGCGATGAAGAAGAAGACGACGGTGATGCAGCGGTGGAAGTTGAGTCCGGTGGTTTCGAGGATATTCACAGTGGGGTTTGTGTTTGCGACTGGTTCTTGGTTGGAGACACCTCAGCTTGTAAGAGCGGCGTTGTGGAGAAATACATCAACGAAGCTTTGTTTTTCGTTAGTTTCGTAAAGCACAAGTTATTTAGTCTCTTGGGGATATTTGAAACGAGTGTTAATTAATTAAGCCCAAGTTAACATTGTTTAGCCTTTTAAGAGTGTTTACAATCTGGACTTTAGTTTGGTTTAATCTTGTTTTAGAAAAGAAAAGAAAACAAAAACAATTTTTTTAAACAAAAAAAAAAACAATTTTGTTATGTTTTATTTTGAGTTTTGTTCTTCATCTCATTTTGGACTCTTAAAAATGATAGGGTAGTTTCATTCATTACCAAAATGTTTGACAGAAACATAAGATTGAAATTGTTCTCCCAAATCTTTTACACATCTTTTCCTAAATCAGGGATCAAACTGACCTAATTAAAAACAACAACTAACAGTTAAAATTCATTCCCTAAGTCTCGTGACATGACGATGGAGATGAGTCCCCTGAGCCACCCAAAAACTGAAGCTCTTTCTTATCATAAATCTCCAAAGAAAAATCCCTCAGCGGTTGCGTCGCACCGCCACCACCAGGTCCACCACCGCTCGTTTCCATCTCCGGTTCAGCGGCTGAAGCGTTTGAGACGTCGTAAATAGACACCGGTCTAGCACCAACGTTCAGAAACGAAGCTGTAGCAACTGTAGGAATAGCCCACATTTGGCCCATTTGATTCGGCCCACCAGTAACATACGCAGTACCCATACCCATAGGCCAAAACGGCATCAACCCCGTCGTATTGACGTTCATGATATTAACACCGTAATTTGACGCCGTTATCGGAGCTAACCCAGAAGTAACGGAGCTATAACAGCTGTCATGTTCATTAACGTCTACGAACTCACTCGTACAGTTACGCTTCCTCCGTTTCTTCATTAGGTCACCGTCACCGTCACCGCCGCCGTTATTCTCTACCGGAGCGCTCGTCGGTATTTTTAAAGTTCCGTTAACCGAAACAGCAATAGCCGGTACAGTCCCGGTTCCGGTTGCTTCAATTATCGCCGGTTCAGCTCGTTCCAATAACCACCGAATGGTTTCTCCGTCGGATTTGTGACCAAGTTCACGGGTCAATTGAAAGACCCGAGCAGCGCAACCCGCAGGCATTCGGATCCTCCGACCTCGTCCTTCTACTTTCGTGTGACGGTCTTTAGTCGGTCTCTTCGGAGCCGGTTTAGTCATCACCGGCTGCAAAAACCCGTCTTCTTGTTTCATGAGCATCATACCCGGTTTGGTTTTCGGATTCGGGTCAGACAGATGGGTCATGGTTGCTACTTGGTCAATCTCTTGTATCGCTTTGCCTTCTTGATTCGATTCCATTTACACAAAACCCTAGAAAAATCTGAATGTCACAAAACTTCAAATTCAGTCAAAATGTTTTGTTTTTACTGATTATTTTGCAGGAAAATGTTATCTTTTTCAATTCGAACCTTAAAAAGTTTGAATTTTTTTTTGTAAATTAAAGAACAGTGATAAAAAAAAAAAAAACTGAGAAACCCTAGAAAGGTAGAAAAATAAAAAGTTCAAAAGCTAACCTTATCCTCTGCACGAACCCTACAAAGATGGAAGAAGGGGCCCTCAAGATCATCGTTTCATTTTTATAGTCCATTATCAAATCAACGGTCTAGATCACATCTTGACAGCTGAACCAATATGGGCCTTATGGGCCTTGGCCTCTACCACATGGTCTATATCTCTCTCTCCAACCTACTGAATTTGGGAGCTAAGTTTTTATTGACCAGAAGTAGAAAGAAATTTACTTGAAATTTCATTGATTGTTGAACCGGTTTTGATTTAAGAAGTGAACCAAACCAAACCGAAGCCAAAACTAGACTACTTCACGGTTCTTGTGTTCAAAAACATGAACACCACATCTTCCACTCTCTTTATCAACAAACTCTGAATCTAAAAACCGTGCAACGAAAATCCAAAGCTTATAAACATCTTCGAAATTCGCAAGAAACCCTAACGCAGCAGTGAGAACAGAGATCCTCGGTTCGTCGATGTCTCTGTTTTTTTTCTTCTCAAACACTCTATCTTTCACTCCTTCGTAGTCATCTTCGAACAAGATGTTCTTCAAGAAACCTTTTCCGAGTGAGATATTGCTGCAATCGGCTAGCTTTTGCACGATAAAAGGTTCGATTTTCTCGCCTTTTTGGTTGAACAGATTGAACGCAACCGCTGGTCCTCGATTGAAATTAACCTTTTGACCGTAGATTTTGACGAGACGACTAGTTGTAGAATGTTTGAGTTTGTATAGAGCACTTACTAACCAATTTATCAAGCATCTTGATCTGTTCCCTGTTGCTACCAACCCTAGTGAGTCTACATGATCTAGGCCTTTGTATTCGACACTAGAACTAAAGCTATATGTTTCATCCGATTCTGTTTGTGTCCGGCTGATTTCCAACGTGTGTAATGAAATCGGATTGTCGGTAGGTACAAGGTTAACCATACCTGAGCCAGTGGAAGATTCAAGAATCGGAATGGTGGATTTCTTGACAAACAAGCAACCGAATCCAGAAGGGTTTTCTCCAAACACCTTGTAGAACGAACACACCATGAAGTCGGGGTTATAAATAGAGAGACCGAAGCTATCCATATCCTTCGGTCCCAAACCGCAAGCATCGATCATTACATGCCACCCATTTTCTTGCGCCACACTCATCCATAGATACGGATACCTTGATCCCGTAACCCTAGAATGAAGCGGAAAGACGAATATACCTTTCTTCTTCTTCTTGCTTCCGTTTTTCCCAGCAGTGACCATCTTCCTCAGCTTGGAAGAACAGAGTTTGAGTCTTGGCCATGAGAATTCAGCTGCAGCTACTTTGGCTCCACGTTTCTCAGAGACTCTGTTTATTTCATTCACCGCCTCGCTTTCGTAGTCGTAAACCGTCAAAAGCTTTCGTTTCGAGTTAAACGGGTACGACTCAGCGACGAGCCGAAAAGCAGAAGTTCTATTAGCGGTGAAGACCATTGAGTAGTCTTCCTCGGAGATTTTGAGAAAACCCATGATTCTTCTTTTCATTGAGTACTCAAATTCTGTTTCTTGACCTCCATCGTGGAGAAGCTTCTCTTTGAGGTTACCGATCTTGGGAGACACACTAAAGAAGGGACTTTCAGACAAAGAAGAGGAGATCTGGTAAGTGGAAGGGTCGTAGTTGAGCAACTGAGAGTAAGAGTATAAACCAATTCCAATGTAATCAAGACACGTGTAATGTGATAACCCCAAGTGAAAGTAGTGGTCGGATCTGATACGGTCGATCTTGTAAGTGTCGGAGTAATTGGGGTAAGCTTGGATGAAATCGGAGAAGGATTCTTGATGAGAAGGGAGAGAATTTGGGTCGACGAATTCGGTGTCCGGGAAGATGGTGGAGACCGTGGTTTGGGCGAAATTACGGCGGAGAGTAGCGGATGTGACGGTGGGGGTTAAATCTGGTGGGTGTTCGGAGGCGGCGGCACCGTGAAATGGTGACGATGAAAAGCAGCCGTGAAGGCAGTTTGGTGGTGGTGAATCGCCGGGAAATGGTTGAAGCATTTTCTTCCTCTTTTTGGTGCAAAAGATGT